CACAATAATCTCAGAGCCAAAAACTACCGAAAAATAAGCATTGACGAAATCCAATATCTTCTCATGATAAGAACACTCCACCAACTAGGAATGCACAGAAATATCCTCAAGTTGATATCGGGCATTTATTTATTTTTAAATTAAAACGAATAGTATACCCAATAGTGAAAGACCAAACCTTTCCCTTAAAATCAGGAACAAAACAAGCGTGCCGTTGTCAGCACCATTACATTGCACTTGAGCTTCTAGCCAGAGAAACCAGGCAAGAAAAACTAATAACAGGCATCCAACTTGGAAACCCTCCTGAGCAGGCTGAGGCCTTTCCAATTTGAATGTCGTTATTTGTTTTCTTGCCTGGTGTAGACAAAGGTGTCAGGGAAGGTCCTGGGGACAAGGAAGAATGACTAAAGACTTTCCAGCCTTATTATGAAAGCTGATCTCAGTGACTTGAGTCTGTGGGGGATCCAGGTAGTTCTTCCTTTTACCTCAGGGATACCAGTTGTGATTTGAAAGTGACAAGACTCAGCCTTCCTCTTGTTTTCCCTAATAAAATCCAAGGCTGTTAGGTTATAACCACAGTTTCTTCAACTAAGACATGAGAAGGATGTACTCAGGATGAGGGTGAATTATTCGTCCTGTTAGACAGAGAGGCGGGTCTGAAAGCTTTTCCAATGTGTAAGGAACCTATATTCTTTACCTGTGTGTGGCTGTAATTTCCAGTTTTTGTTATTTTTTTTTATTATTATTACATGATTGTTTTTTTCCGACAAAAGTGTTTTCCCCAAAGGAAACCTGGTCCACATGTCCTTTTCTCCAGTGTCCAGCCCTCCACAGACGCTGGCTCTCCTCCTCTGAAGTGCTCCTTCTCACCCTAGCGAGTGAGCCCTCCTGGGGACAGGAGCCCTCAGGAAAGAGGCCTCAGAGAGCTGCCTTGCCCTTCCCCCAAGTGAGAACCCAGGCGGAAGTCACAGAGACCGGAAACAAGCTCTCCCCAGACATGAATCTGCTGGCACCTTGATCTTGGACTTCCCAGACTCCAGACCTGTGAGAAATAAGTGTTTGTTGTTTATAAACCACCTGGTCTGTGGTAATTTGTTACAGTCGCCAGAACTGACTAAGACAACTTAATAGTAAAGAATTCCTATTCAACATTATCAAAAAATATATAATATGCCTACCAATGAACATAACTAGATGCACACAGAAATTTTCTGGAAAAAAAAATAACAACAACAACTGTAAAACTCTGCTGACATTCAGCCTATTTAAGTGGATGAATAGGCTGAAATTTTTCATGATAAAATGGTTTTTAAAAGGTTTGCTCTTCCCAAACAGGAAACCTCCATGAGGTAAAGATGTCTATCCTGTTTTTTCTCATTTGCAGAAGGTAGAGAGAATAAGGATTTTAAAGGGGGTGGAGAATCTCATGAAAATAGAAGGGAGAACAGTGAATTGAGAGGGAGGGAGGTGGATGGGAAAGGGGAAGTACTGGGAATTAAAATGGAGCAAATTATGGTATATGCTTCACTGTTACATATGGCAATAAGGCACTAATAAAAATGTAAAAAAACAAAAAGGATGTCTATTTGGTCAACATAATTTACATGTGAAGTGTAATATAATCAGAATGAAAACCTAATTAAATAATTGATTTAGGTAATTATCCACAGTTTCCAAATATTTGCAGGGTGCTACATCATCATGCCATGGTGTATTTGCTCTTCCTAGATGGGGAGACACAGGTTTACAACGAGGGGATTGGGGGGCAACTACTAAAATACCTTCACTTGTCCTCAAAACACTACAAATGGTCCAGTAGGTGTCTGCTCCTCCTGAGGGGGTGGAGGCCCACAGCACCCAACACCCGGGAGGATTCTTGCCCAGTCAGCGTGACCTCATAAGCTTCTAGAGCCTCACATGGGTCAACAGAAATACCAAAGACAGGGAAGTTGAAAGACTCAGGAGGAAGCAACGTGGGACATTCTAAGGGACCATTCATCTGTGTCATGAAACACCTCCGTGGTCCACAGGAAGAAGAGGGAGGGAGGGAGGGAGGGCAGAAGCCAGCAGGAGGAACTCTTCCTGTTGACAAGGGGGTCAGGGACATCAGAGCAGTGCAATGAGTGTACAGAGCTAGGGGTGGATTCTGGTGCCAAGGACTTCGCTAAGTCACTTTCAGGACAATAAGAAAACAGCAGAGCATTAGAAGTTAAGAACTGCTGTTTGTTTTGTGGGGTGTGAGAATGATGTTGTGATTATGCAAGAGAATGTCTTTCTTCTTGGCCATCCATGCTAAAGTATTTATGGCTAAAATATACGACGCATTGGATTTACTTTAAAATATTTCAGCCAAAACAGGAGGCATTACAAAATGTTCATTATCCAATCTGGGTGATGAGCATGTCGTATAGAGTTACTGTTCCTTTGTGCATTTTTTGAAATATTTTGTGATACATTTTTTTTTATGATAAAAAACAGTGGACTTATTTTTGGAACTTCACAAAATGATCATCAGGTTCATAAGGGAGAATGAAGTACTGGTGATGTGAACCCTGACAACGCAGGCTAGTGACCAGTGATGGACACCTCGTGTCACTAAAACACACTGGGGGGGGGGGACAGCAGTAATGGGGAACAAGAATACACAGTCAAAGGGAAAGAACCAAAACCCAGCAACGGCCCCTTGACATATAAGAGTTTTTGATAAAGTTCTGATTTCTAATCAATGGCAAACTTTTGAATTATTTACTAAAGGCTAATGGTACAATTGCCTAATAACTTAGGAAAAAAGCATTTTCTCTTTCACATGCTCTGCCGTAATAAATCTCAGATGGATTCAGAATTAATAGGTTCTCCAAACATCACAAAACAAAATAAATATACTTATTGGATATCAGAGTTAAAAAGGCTTTTTAGCACAAAAATAGAGAGAGAAAATATATATGGAAATACTGATTTAACTATCCCCAAATTTAAAACTTTGGTACCAAAAAGAAAAGAAAGAAGTATTTGCAATAGAGGATTACAATAAGCATTTATCAAGCCACCTCATTTAATCCTCAGAACTACCATTTGAAAATATTGTTATGTCTGTCTCTATTTTATAGAATAATAAGCTGAGGTTTGAAAAAAAAGTCATGCAGGTAAGAGATTGGTGGCACTAAGATTTAAAACCACCTCAGCATACATCCAACATTCTGACCAGCACCACCAAACCTGCCACTCATGTACGACAGACAAGCAATCACATCCTTAAACATCATGTTTAGAGACTTGAAAATGTTCACAAAATCATCTTCATCAAAAAAGCATTTCTTCAACGAACATGTTGTTTATAATCAGAAAAAAAAAGTATGTCCATAAGTGTTTTTCTCCAAAATAAGGCTGCCAAGGAGATGCCAGATTCTTCCAAAAGTAACCTCAGGTCATAGAAGGCAGAGCCCCTCTTCTTCTGAGAGCTAGGAAGACAGCGTGAGGAATTCCAATTAAGTCCAAGGAAGAACTTCCTGCCTGGCTGCTCTGGACTGGGAGGGAAGGGTGAGCTAAGCCCTGGAATGTCACCTTCCTCTCTCAGGGTCAGCTGAAGTATTTCCCTGCTTTCAACACCCAGATGCTGGGGATGCCAGAGCGGAAGTCCCAGCTTAGTCCCAGGAATTAGGTGTGTCTTTGAGGCAGTTCTTTCTCATCTCTGGCTCACGGTTTCCTCATCTTTCACATGGGAGGGCCTGGAGGAGGGACCCGAGCTCCCACAGGGCTGATGGATCCACTAGTCAATGTCAGCCTCTTCTCTTCCACCAAATGCAGGAGCCGTTATCAGGGGCTACATGGATCAAGATTTCACCCTGATGAAAACTAGGCTGGGGTCCCTGAGTGAGATGACATCTGCTCTGGCCCATGAATACAGCCAAAATGAAGCCTTGCTTCATCCGTCCCCTCTGCCACAGAGGGCAGTTCTACCAGATGTCACTGCAAGTGATCTCACAAAGGTGGGGTGGCCTGTCTCCCCACAGGGACCCAAAAGGGGAGACTGAGGCTGGCCTCCTTCACCTGCCAGCCTGGGCCAGCTTCTCTGGCAGGAAGCTCCGACCCCAACCCTAATGCTGTCTCCCTTCCTAGGAATCCAGAATGAGCAAAGCCCCCGTGTCAGGCAGAACTAACTTCCGTCCCTGCCTAAGACGTTGCTGGAACGCTGAGACTGTGGAGAGCCAGGAAAGTGGGGACCTGACTCATGCTTCACCCTGAATACTCTCGGCCAAATTCAGAAACTGTAAAAGTAAAAAGAACTTTATTTGGGGTCTTAGGAATTGCAAGTCGGCAGACCTGAGTTGAGAGCTGTTCGTCAGAGGCACAGGTTCAGAGAGCTGATGTCGACGTTCTGAGGAAGGCAGGGAGTTGGGGACGGAATGGGCCGGCGGTGCTCCTGTGTTACAAAGTGGTGAAGCCCCTTTGTAGAAAACTCCTATTAAATGCTAAGAAACAACGGGGGCTACATGACCAAAGAAGGTAACAAAAGGGTGTATGTACTTGGTAACAAGGTCCATCAAGCAAGAGTCTGAATCTTTTGCTGTGCATCTTGAGTCTCTGGGCACAATGTTATCAGCTGGTCTTTCCCAATATATACTCCAGATGTCTGAGGTCACAGGGTGGAGGTGACCAGCTCTCACAACTCCAGGTGGCAGCTTGAGACCTGCATAAGTTCCGCTGCCTCCCAAGTCCATTCTCTCAACATTGCTTCCACCGCCATTTCCCTTTCATTTCACAACACAGGTAGGATCAACCGCAGCTCAGAGAGGGATCCCGAGACTTGCCATGACCACAGCCAAGTCAGGGATACAGGCAGGACTGGGTCCAGGTCCCCCCACCTGTAGGATCTGGGCCACCCTGCCTTTAGTTCTTGCACAAGCACCCCTGGCCCTGGGCCCTGAGCAGAGGGTGGAGCCAGGGTGAGGGAGACCCATGTGACATCATCCACCCCCATGTGACATCATCCTCCCTTGACTCAGCTGCTTTGGCCTCCCGGGGTTGCAGATGCTAATTTGGGAGCTGCTGGGCCCTGACCTTATTGGATGCCAGCAGCAGAAACATGGGGCTCTGGAGCTTCCTCCTGGTGGCTCTCCTGGCTCTGGGGACTCAGCTGCCTGCTGCCTCTGGCTGGAAGAAGGGAGGTGAGGTGGTGAGATCCCTATTCTCTAGGCCCTGGGTGGTTTTTGCCTCTCGAGGAGAGTAAGGCTTGGTTTTGGGGAGGGCAGGCGATGTGGGGGGTGTGTGTGTGTGTGTGTGTGTGTGTACACCCTGCTTAGTGGTTCTGGGAGGCTGTGTTTTCATTTGTGCATTTTTGGCGCGTGTCTGTGTATCTCGGCTGGTTTCTCGGTGCTGGTTGGCGCCATCTACGCATCTGAGGATGTACCACAGCACGCCCAAGCCCGCGCGTGTTCACTGCAGAACAACTGCATCGTGTGTGTCTGAGCTGGGGTTCCTCTTTGGGGAGGGAACCTTCCAAGTCTGCCACTCCGCGAGTCTTTTCTGCCCCCCCCCCCCAGCTCCATTTGTAGAAGGGCTTGAGAGTTAAATAGGGAACGTGGCTCGGAGTCTCTGTCGCTGCCTCTCTTCTCCCTCCTGCACCTCCATGCCCACTGGCACCCCCAGATGAGGCTGGGGCTGAGGCTGCCTGTTGACAGGGGAGGGAGGTGAGGGTGCTGGAGCGGCTGGACTGGTGCCTCCTGATCTGGGTGAGGCACTGCTCCCTTCTAGTGGAATATAGGTGACCTACATTCACCTGGGCAGCCCTGGCCCTGCCTTGGGGGGAGGGGTCAGTAATGAGGACAGGTCCCCTCCTGCAGGGGCTCTGGGAGCAATTGCCTGCATCCACTCTGCTCTCTTTAGCCTAGATTATGCCTTCCTTGGAGGCACAGGTCCCTGCCGGAGGAGGGAGCTGATGTGGGGAGGAGGGTGCTCAGAGTCCTTGGGTCGAGGAAGGAAGGAGGCTGGTGGGCCAAGGCCAGTCCGTCCACTGTGGTTCACGGCCGTCACCACACACCTCCTCTGCAGTGTGTGAGGTGGCACTACATTGATTCCCATTTTGCAGATGAGGAAACCAAAGCACAGCGGGAAACCGCTTGCCCAAGGTCCAAGACTCTTTGTCTCAAAGGTGACATCTGAGTGAGGTCGGGGAAGCCAGAAAGGCTCACCTGCTGACTCCTGTGAAATGGGCTTGTGCCTCTCTCTCAGGAGCACATGGTGCCTTGAAGAGGGTCAGGTACACAGTAGGAGCAGCATAACTGGGTGATTTGGAGGAGGGGCTGGGGGTACCAGGAGGACATGTCCTGATACCTCACCGAGCTGCTAAGAGTGGGAGCTAGCACCAGCAGAGCCCAGGCCAGCTCCGGGCCTCTGGGTGTGGCCATGTGTGATGCGCATGTCTCCCCAGTTCACCGCATCTCCTCCTTCCCTGGCTCCTCTCCAGGAGACCTCTGCCCGACTCTCAGTGGACTTCAGACAGTGGAGGAAGGTGGCAGGGGTGAGGGAGGGGAACCTCAGCTTGACGTCTGTGGAAGACTGGCTGCCTCTGCTTAGGGGAGCCCTGGCCCTCACTCAACTGTCTGGATGTCTCTGATCCAAAAGCTGGGCGCTCTCCCCAGTGGACAGTAAACGCCTAGTTAAATGTTTTTAGTGGTTATGTGGTGCCGGGAACATCTGGGTCTATAGTTCCATACGTGTGATCGTGAATAGATGTCTGTGGTGTATATGTCACTGTGCTCGCATGTATGCATGTGCTGTATATTTTCATGCATAACTGTGCATTATGAATCTTTCTTTATATATATTCATGTGTGTAGACATATATGTGATTGTATATTTATAAATCTGACTCTGTGTATGTCCCATTTCAAATGTACATGTGTGACTGCCTGCATTTATATATGTGTGTGTATTAATATTAAACTATCTTGTGCATGTCTGAATGTGTGTGTGTGCATGTGTTAGGTTGAACCACATAATGTGCTATTTTTTGTAGATCAAAAAAATGTTGAGTATCCGCAATCCCAGATGGCTAAGCCTACGGCGAATTGTGTATATAGATCTAAGTGCTTGCACACTGGGCTGTGTATCTACACGAGTGTGTGAACACATCTGTTGACCTGTGTGCTGCTGGCTGAGTCTATGCACCCACAGTGGACGCATCTGGATGACCACCTGCATCGTCACGTTGTTGCTCAGAGTGCGCATGTGTGAACGGGAAGGTCAGGAAGGCAGAGCCTCTGTGGCCGCCCAGAACTGCCACCTGTCTTTGTGCCCTCCAGAATTTAATGCCCAGCTCACACGGTGGCTGTCATAGTTCTTCCCACTTGAGATGCCAGCTCTCAGCCCCCTCCCTATCAGTCTGTTCCCATCCTGGCCCCCCTCAGAAGCTCTGCGGCCTCTGTCCCCTGACCTACCTGCCCGCTCCCCACTCCTGCTTTCCTGCTCTGAGTTCCCTTTGGCCTGAGCACCTCCAGCCTGGGCTTGTGAGTTAACGCTGAACCCTGGCACCTCAGACAGTCTCCAGGGCCCCTTGGGTTCCCCTCTCCCCTCCCCCTGCCACCCACCACCAAGAGAAGCTAATCAGACTCCTTCCCAGGCTCAGCCACCCTTTCTCCAGCAGGGGGCAGCAATTCGATTTAAACCAACTCAGTCTAAGGAGGCATGAAGCTGATTTTGAGCACTCACTGTGTGAGAGGCTACCTACTATGTGCAGCCAACACCCAGGCAGGTCAGAGGCGGAAGGGTGACCCAGGTGACAGAGCCTTGAATCCAGTGCTGTGGGAGCTCCGGAACCTTTTCTCTGAGGCTCGATTGGGTTGAAGACCTGGTCCAGCCCCATCCCTAGGGCTCAAAAGCATCCAGAGCAGGTCCCAGAGATCAGAGGGAACTGGCCGCAGGAGTCCTGGCCCAGGACTGTGTGGGTCTGGGCCAGTCACTGTCCCTTTCAGACCTTGATTTCCTCTGCCCAGTGGAGGAAGGTACTGATCTCCAGCCTTCTGTGAAACCTGGAAATAGCCAGAAATATCCCAGAAGAGGGGTCAGGTAAACTCCAGGACCCTACATCCCACAGCCGCCTGGAGGGGCACCTCCAAGACACTTAGTACCTCTGGACCCTGAAGCCACGCCACCTGCCACAGCGACAAGCACGCAGTGCAGATGTGGCCATGGTGGCTATGTGACAATGCAGCAGGCTGGCAACAGCCAATGTGCGTGACACCGGGTTCCCTTCAAGTCCTTTCTTTCAGACAGTCACTGAGCCCCTAGTGTTGTGCACCAAATGCTGTGCCAGAGCTCACAGGGAGCACAGCAGAGCAGGCAGGTGACAAGTCCCACTGCCTCCAGCTGATGAGAGGCCCAGAGTCTGGGTGGGGCTGGAGAAGCAAGGTCTTCTGAGGATGAAGTGTTTCAGAGATTAATGAGTTGACCAGGTGCTCTGAGTGGAGGGGACAGCACCAGGCAAAGGTGCAGCCGCAGCAAGAGCCCTGCAGACAGAAGGAGCCTGGAGCCCATCAGGGGCCACTGAGTGGCAGAGCAAGGTGGGTGCACGCCTTAATCCCAGCAACCTGGGAGGCCGAGGCAGGAGGATTGAAAGTTTGAGGTCAGCCTCATCAACACAGCAAGACCATCTCAAAACAAAAAGGGGTGGGGATGAGGCCAGGGAGAAGAGAGGCCAGCCTAGCCATAACTTTATTGGACACAGTGGAGACTTTTAACTTTCTTATTTTCCCTATTGTTATGCTGCCTGGATCTCCAACCAGCCCTGGGGGAAAAATAGTGATTAAAAATAAATAAATAAACTTCTCAAAGGACGGGCAAGGAGTAGGGGACACCGAATTCAGATGTGATTTCCAGGTCAGCACTTGTTACATAACCTGAGCTGCCTCCAGCTGTAAGATGTGGGTGTTCTCTTACAGAGAAGTGGGGGAGCTGCCCGCCAGATGATGGGCCCTGCCTCCTGTCAGTGCCCGATCAGTGCACTGGTGACAGCCAGTGTCCTTCAACCAAGAAGTGCTGCTACCGAGCTTGCTTCCGCCAGTGTGTCCCCAGGGTCTCAGGTCAGTGGCCCCTCCGCCTTGCTGAGCACCAACCCCCAGCCCCAGGTGGGCCCCTCAGGCTCACCCCGGCCCCTGTGTTGCAGTGAAGCTGGGGAGCTGCCCCGAGGACCGGCTGCACTGCCTCAGCCCCACCAGGCACATGTGCAGCCAAGACTCCGACTGCATGGGCAGGAAGCGGTGCTGTCGCAGCGCCTGTGGCCGGGACTGCAGAGACCCCGTCAGAGGTGGGCTCCTGGGGACCTGAGGCAGGGCCTTCCCTCTGCCAGCCCAGCTCCGAGGTTTCCTTCCAGTTCAGCAAGTTGAACCTGAGACCTCCCCAGAAGCCAGGGCCTCTCTGGCCAGAACTGGGGAAGTGGCTGGGGCAGGAGGAGCCCTGTGAGTATAGCAGAGGAACTGGGGACCCTGGGTTCTCTTCCTGAACTTGCCGCTTCACATGGACCACATCCTGAAATGGCTCTGAACTCCAGTTTGGCCTTTGGAAGGGGATGGGGGTCCTGCCTTAGTAGCAACCAGGGCTGGGCTGGTGGGGTCTGGATGTGGGGACAGAACCCAACGCTCAGAGCTCTGTAATGGACATTGCGGGTTATCCCTTCTTCCTCTCCCCTCAGGCTGATTGTGGCTGAAGACCTACAGTTCTGCAACTCAGGTGGGGTTCCCGGGGACGCTGGCACCCACAGCAACATCTCTCCTGGAGGCAGTGTCAATCTTCTGATTAACTGACCTGCTGTCACCGCCCTGCAACCCGTGGCCTCTGGTTTGTCCTCCTGGATGCCAAGGTCCACAGCCTGAAGTCCCAAGCTCTCCTCTTTGTCTCCCTAGCACCCGCGGCCACTACCACACTGAGCTTCCTCGCTCCTGAGTCCCAACCCTCACGTCTCTGTACGTTCTGTTTCCTCCACCAAAACGCCCAACTCAGGCAGGCCTGAGCCCACCTGCAGCCTCCAGATGAAGTCCTCGCAGGATTTTCCAAACGATGGTCCATTCCTATATCTTTTCCCAATTTTTGCCACACCTGCAAACCAGCACCGTGACGTCTCACATGCTGCCTCTACTGTGGACCTCATGTCTTCTTTAAATCACCCACTTTAAACTTATTTCAAAAGAAAACTCGATATCACTGCTCTAAATGAGAGGCGCAAGATCACTGGCCACAAATAGAATGTAATTGTGAAAACAAATACAATGAAAATAGTTCAGGTCCATTAAATTAAATCATGTCCAATAAATCAGATTATTAAACTCGAGCTAGATACGGCCACCCGCCAAGACTGAACCGGAAGCCTGCTCCCTGTCTCTGTTTTAATAAATGGAGATCAGCAAGGGTTAAAGAGATGCCAAAGACGCAGATCTCGAACTGAGACAGCTCCCTGGTGTAATCAGGATCGAAAGAGCAGCACGGTCTCACTCCAAGCCAATGTTGTGCAGTGTGGCGTCCAAGTGCTCATTAAGATCATTGTGGATTGCCCCACGTTCAGGGGAGTGTCTCCGGAGCAGCTGGGACGCCAGCTTTATGGTGGCCCTGTCCTCAACCCTGGGCTGGGCTTCCCTGGGGCTGGTCTGTGGTCAGGGCCTGCTGAGGGTTTCCTGTAGGGGGATGACAAGAACATCCCTGAACCCAGACAGTTGGCTTCGGACTGTCTCCTCCCCAGGACTTGCCTTGGGAAGGGACAGAGGCAGGCACACTCTGCTGCTGTCTCTGCCGGGCCTCCTCTGCATCCCGCTGGGCTCGGGAGTTGGCTGGTCAACTGTGAGGTGACCCTGGGAAACCTGGGTCTTCTTTCCCTGTTCTCTTGACCTTGAGGTTGAGTCCAGGTGAGCGGCCCACCACTCCGGGGCTTCTGTTGGTGCTGCTGGAAAGCGGACAGAACTGTCCTTCCTCATTGCCACCGTCCTTCCCCAGTGCCTGAATTAGTGACTCAAGGCTGCAAATGCTGATTCTGTGGACGCAGGGCGAGGTCTGGGAGGAGCAGAGAGAGCTCTCTGGGAGTCACTGATCCCGTGCGACCTCAGATATTTCTTTACCTCCCTCTGAGCCTTGTTTTCCTCCTCGGTAACCTCAGAAGGTTAACGCACACAACATGCAGATGACACACTTGCCCACAACTGCCCCTTCCCTCCCACGCCTTCCCTGGAGGGGGAGTGGACGTCCCTGTCCCAGCGATCTGGGGATTGATAGGAGCGCGTTTGCCTAAGGGGATGGGGTGGAAACGGCAGCCCCCCAGTTTCAAGATGAGGCACTGGCCTTCTTAGAACTCCTACTCTCTGCCATGAGAAGAGTTCACCCAGAAGCCACGGGTCTCGACATCAGAGACACACGGGCAGGCCTGAAGGTGAACAGTCCTAGCCAAGCCTCAAACTTGCAAGAGACAGATCAATATTTGTGGTGGGAAGCTGTGGAGGTTCAGGGGCTGCTGGTGATAGATCCACTGCAGTAAGAGCCTAATGCAGACACCAATTATTAGTGCCCAGTGAATGGCCACCTTGTGCCTCCCACTTTAAATTGTCCTTTCATTCATTCATCCCGTAACCTGAGGAAGGTGGGCATTGTTATTCCTATTTGACAATGAAGAAGCTGCAGCTTTGAGACAAGTGACTTGCCCAAGACCCCCAGCTGAGAAGTGGATTAAACTGCCACATGTTCCTTTTTGCAGTGCACCCACCGGGTACCAGGTGTCCTTTGATCATCTCATTAAATCCTCACAGCCTTGCCAGGCAGGATGTTCTGTTTCCTCCCATTTCACGTATGAGGAAGACTGAGGCACAAAGAGATTGATTGGGTCAAGGTCAGAGCCAAACAGTCTGTCCCCAAACCTTGCAGCCTTATTAACTATACTAATTACAGCAGGTCTTTGGAGAGTCCCTCCAACTTTAGTAACCCAGCTTTAACATCTGAAAAATGGGGATCACAAAGTAGGTGAAATGAGCAGGCTCGAATCTGGACAGCAGGGACCCAGGCCTGTGGGCACAGACTTATTGCTTTGCTTTCTTTCCTGAAGGTGATGGGGAGGAGAATTCAGGGGCCCCAACAGGACTCTTGTAGGTGTACTAGCTAAGCCTTGGCTGTGAAGAGCCCCCTGGCTGTCCTGGGGCCCTGAGTTCTGCCTGGGGAGTGTCAGGAAGAGGCAAGTCACAGGCTGTGAGGATGCAGAGCCTGCTCAGCTTCCTGGCTAACACTACCTGTTCCATCAGGTCCGTGTCTTGATCTGTGCAATGTGGCTCCATCTTTGGCTACCAAAGTTCAACTGCTTTAGCTCCAAATCCTGTCTCTCTCCACCATCCTTTTGGAAAGCCTCCTGGGAAGCTGCACATCCTGGTCCCTTGTGCAGACTCCAACCTCTCTTTCCTCTCTGCCTCATTCAGTAAATGTTTGCTGAGCACCTACTACAGGCTGCAGGCCATGCCTTCCCAGAGCTCATGCACTAGTGGATGAGAGAGAGCCCTGGCTGGAGAAACCTCGGAGGCTACAGAGGCCAGGAGGGGCCTAACTCAGCCCCGAAACCAGAGGAAGCTTCCTAAGGGAGAAGATGGCCTACTGCAAAAAATTAGACTCTTCTCTAGTGAAGCCACTGTGAATCCATTTCTGTTCCTAAGTCAAGTACCCTGGGCCAAGAAAGGGCAGTTGCTCTGGGAAGGGAACAGCATGTGCTAATCCTCTGTGCACTCCTCAGAGGGAAGCGTTGTTTCCATTACACAGAAGAGAAAGATGAGCATCTCAGAGGAGACCCTGAACAAGGAATTTGGTAGCAGGAATAGGATTAAAGCCCACGGATTTATTACCTATCACAGGGTAACAGGTATCCCCTGTCGTGGGCTTAAAACACCACCCATTTATTATCTCAGTTTCTTCGCTTCATGAGCTGCAGTCAAGGTGTTGGTCAGGGGGGGACTCTCTCCCCAGCCTTGATGAGGTAGAATCTGCTTTCCAGGTTAGAAGGTTGTTGGCAGAGTTTCAGTTCCTGGAGGACTGATGGCCTGAACATCACATCTCTCGCTGGCTGTCAGCTGGAAGTCACCCTCACCTCCTCGCCCATCCAGCATGGCAACTGGCAACTTGCTTCTCAAAGCCAGCAGAAGTCACCACCTTAAGCCACCTTATTGTGGAAGTGGCAGGCCACCACCTTTGCCTGTTCTGTTCACTAGAATCACTTGGTACCCAAGTGAGGGGTTCCGGAAGGGCATCCCAGGCGCACATCACTGGGAGACGTGGAAGAAGCTGCCCATCCAGGTCCACTTCACCCCCAAACTGTATTTTCTGCCACATCAAGTTTAATCTGTAGGCAAAACTTTATGGGTTCTGACAGCACCCCTGGCAAGGGACTGAAGGAGTTTGGGGGACCGCTCACCCACGGTAATCAAAGGGCATTGATACCCTGTTAGCACAGTGACCCACAAAGCCCCTGTCCCCACTTCCGTCACTTACACATGCATCTAAAACTCTGATCACCTCTCGAATGGTAAATGGAAGTGATCTGGAGATGAAATAGACCAGAGACCTTCTCTGTCTGGTTACAGAATAGGAAGTCAGCAAGCACCATGCTGTGAACTAGCTATGGGACCAGGCGACAAGGAAGTACAGGCCACCTCTAGGATCTGAGATGACAGCCGACAGACCATTAGGAGAAAAAGGAGGATCTTAGTTCTACAACCACAATGAAATGAATTCTGCCAATATGTGAGCTTGGAAGAGACGTTTGAACACAAATGGAAACTTCAACCCTGGCTGACACTTAGCTTCAGCCTGGTAAGACCCTGAGTAGAGAATCCAGCCAAGCTAGGCCCAGACTCCTGACCTAATAATGATGATAAATCTGTATTGTTTGAAGCTACTGAAGTTGTGGCCAATTTTTTACAAAGTGATAAAAAACAGTTCACTGGGTTTTAAAGACTCAGTACAAAAATGAATATCTCATTAATAATTATGATTTTATATTAAAATTAAATATTCCAGATACATTGGGTTCAATAAAATATACTATTAAAATAATTTCACCTGCTTCTTTTTACTTCTTAAAAACGTTGCTATTATAAAGATTTAGTTGCATAGGTGGTCCACCTAGTATCTATTGTCAGGGCTGGCATGGGGGACACAGAGGCTGATCTGACCTTGAGCAAGCCATCATGCTTCTCAAACCTTATAATTCTTCCCTGTGTGACAGGAATAAATAACAGCACCTAACCCACAGGTACATGTGCAGCCTGCATGAGATGAAGCCTGAATTTAGCCCCAAACAGAGCTCAGCCAGTGTGGGTAATTATCATTGTTATTAATGACAGTATTTGTAGTCTTCCATGAACTTGGTTCCTCCTCTGCAGCACCCTCTCCCCAACCAGGCACCCAGAAGCCACTCATAAATACTTGAAGATCACACGATGTTTGGAGAGTTCTTTGCCACCCTTCCCCTTGACTGTCACCAGGCCACCCCAAAGGCAGGATCAGGACTCCGTGGGCAGGTGAGGATACTGAGCCTGAGGGACAGGAGGATGCTCACAGCCCACCTGCCTGCAGCCACGACTGCAGCCCCCTCAGGCACAGCTTGGGGCTGGGGGAGATGCAGCCGCCTTCCCCAACTCCTTAAGTCAGATCCCTGCAGTCCGAGCAAGGGCCCAGCGTCACCTGTCAAATGCAGAACGCGAGAGCCTGTTGTCCCTGCCAAGTTTGTGCCAGGAATAGCTGAGCTAAGTCACCTGAAATATTTCTGGCACATATTAAGCACTCAATTAATCCAACCATTGTTGCTGCCTGTCCTGGGACCGAGGCCGAACCCCCTTTCTAGGTGGATCTCCATCCCCTACATGACCCATCCTTCGCGGACTCCAGATGGGGGGGATGACCGGCTGTTGGGCCCAGACTCCAGACACCCCCACCCCCCACCGAGTCAGGAATAGAAACCACCGCCTCCGGCCGGCCGCGGTCTCCCTCCTCCCCGGCAGAGATCGATGCGGCCTCAGCCGCGGGGGACAGAGGAACAAGGCAAGGAGGGGGCCGCGGGGCCTCCGGCTGCAGCGAGGCGGCAGGGCCGCTGGGGCACTGACAGCCCGGGCGTCGCCAGCGCCTCCGCAGCCTCTGCGCCTTTGGGGACCGTCGCGCCAGGCTCCAGAGAGCGGCTGCCGCAGGTAAGGGGCCTTCTTTGGGAAGGGGCGTGGTCCGAGGAAGGTCTTGGGCTGGGAAAGTGGGCGCTGGGAACTGCCTAGGCTTCCTGGTGCCTGAGACTCTCTAGGACAGGGCCCAAAGGGGGACTCGGGCTGGCCCTGCTTGCTCATCTGTAAAATGGGGTTTGAGGACTCCCTGTCGGGGTTGGAGAAGGGATTTCACGGGAGCACTGGGTGTGGAGCTCAGCAAAGTGACCAGCAAGTAATAGGTGTTCCAAGTAAGTGTCCAGAAAGTCTTGAACCAGAAAGATGTGCAGATCTAGTCAGGGAATATTTGTTGAATTAATTATCCCATTTTATAGAGCAAGAAAGTGAATTCCAGACAGATGAAGGGATTTGCCCCTGACTCTGCATCTAGAGGGTGGTGAAAGTAGATGAGAACTTTTGCCAAACCCAGGCGGAAGAGGTGAGAGTGGAGCTGCAGCACAGGTTTCTTGTGCACCTATTACTGCCAGGGTCTGCACTGCCCACCGACATCTAGCGTCATTGTATCTTCATAGCTTCCCATGGAAAGTATGATATTTTCCAGTTTGTAGATGGGAAAACTGAAGCTCAGAGCAGGGAATGGATCTGCTCAAGGTCAAGAGCTAGTAAGTGGCAGACTCAGAATCTGGACTCAGGTTTGACCTGAGGGAAGGACAAGGGATTAGTGTTCATTGAGCACCCACCGTGTTCCAGGGGCTTTGCACACATACTCTGGTAACAGTTCATCCAAAGGGCCATTATCCCCATTCTAGAAATAAGAGAGCAAGCCCAGAGACTGGCCTGAGATTGCACAAGTGCCAGAGGTCGGGGGGAATCCCAACCCCCTAACACCAAACCCAGGGGGAGTGAAGGACACCCAGGCTCCGGGCTTTGATGCATACTCAACCCCCAGGAAGCCAGCGTGTTTGAACCCACCATGCACATGAGATAACCAGGGTCAGGAGGTGAGTCCCAGCCATCAATTCCATCAGAGGCAGCAGTCAGTGGGCAGTGAAGGACCTGCCACTTCCTGAGTATCAACTAAGCCAAACGCTGTAATCTACCTTAACCCTTCAGCCATCCTTGGGGGTAGGCATTGCCCATGAAACTGAGACCCGGAGAAGAAACATCTTATTCAAGGCCCCAGGTGCATCAAGGATGGTTTTGCCTGACTCCAGAAGAGGGACAGAGGCAGATAATTTAATAAACCTCAAAAAAGACATTAAGTCAAGGTAATCATTTTAACCACACTTCCAGGTGGATATTTTTATCTCTATTTGATGAAGGCTCAGAAAGGTGATGTAACTTGCCTAAGGTCCCACAAGCACACCAAGGTTCAATGCTGTCTGCCTTACATGGTCTGACTGGAGATCTCAAATTTAACCCTGTGTTGGAATCACTCCCCCGATTTTTAAGAACTCAGACTGCTGACCCCCTACCCCAGAGTTTCTGATTCAGCAAATCCAGGGTGGGCTGAGAATCTGCATCCCAGGTGACGCTGATGCTGCAAATCCAGGGAACACTTTGAGAATCCCTGGTCTAAACTGATTTTCCTAACAATCCTAGGTGGCAAGCATTACTACTCCTATTTGCGGAGAAGGAAACCGAGGTTCAGAGTGCTTGGCACATCCAGGATCACACTGTAGACCTCTGGTTAGTCCTGGAAAAGAAGACATCCTACGTGAGCTTTCGGCGCATGCCAGACATAATCCTTAAAGGTAGAGCTCCCATTTATTTTCCACAGGAGAAAATGAAATGAGAATGGGGAGGGTCCGTGATCTGTCCAAAGTCCTGCAGCCAGGAGGGTGTGGGATATTCAAACTCAGGCCTGTCTTGCGTCCAGAGGACATCTGACGTCTACTGATCTCTAACTGCATACCAGGTTCTTCAACAGGGCCTCCAACACCCCGCCTGGTGAAGGGAGCAGGGGATTTTAACCCAGTCTTCCTGGAAAGGAGGCCCTGGGATCTCTCAGTGCGCCCTCCGGTGTCTGCAGGGCGACCCGCTGTAGCCATGGTGAGCGAGTCCTCGGGGCCTGGCCCTGGGGTTCCCTGGCGGAGAAGCGACGAGGCTCTGCGCGTGAACGTGGGCGGTGTGCGGCGGCTGTTGAGCGCGCGCGCCCTGGCGCGCTTCCCGGGCACGCGGTTGGGTCGCCTGCAGGCCGCGGCGTCGGAGGAGCAGGCGCGGCGCCTGTGCGACGACTACGACGCGGCGGCGCGCGAGTTCTACTTCGACCGGCACCCGGGCTTCTTCCTGGGCCTGCTGCACTTCTACCGCACCGGCCGCCTGCACGTGCTCGACGAGCTGTGCGTCTTCGCCTTCGGCCAGGAGGCCGACTACTGGGGCCTGGGCGAGAGCGCGCTGGCCACGTGCTGCCGCGCGCGCTACCTGGAGCGGCGCGTGGCGCGGCCGCGCGCCTGGGATGAGGACAGCGACACGCCGAGCAGTGTGGACCCGTGCCCCGACGACATCTCGGACGTGCAGCGCGAGCTGGCGCGCTATGGCGCGGCGCGCTGCGGTCGCCTGCGCCGCCGCCTCTGGCTCACCATGGAGAACCCCGGCTACTCGCTGCCCAGCAAGCTTTTCAGCTGCGTCTCCATCGGCGTGGTGCTGGCCTCCATCGCCGCCATGTGCATCCACAGCCTGCCGGAGTATCAGGCCCGCGAGGCGGCGGCCGCCGTGGCTGCGGTGGCTGCTGGCCGCAACACGGAAGAAGTGCGCGACGACCCGGTGTTGCGACGCCTGGAGTACTTCTGCATCGCCTGGTTCAGTTTCGAGGTGTCGTCACGCCTTCTTCTGGCGCCCAGCACGCGCAACTTCTTCTGCCACCCTCTCAACCTCATAGACATCGTGTCGGTGCTGCCCTTCTATCTCACGCTGCTGGCTGGCGCAGCGCTCGGTGGCCGGGGCGGCGGGAGCGGCGAGGAGCTCGGCGACCTGGGCAAGGTGGTGCAGGTTTTCCGCCTCATGCGCATCTTCCGGGTACTGAAATTGGCACGCCACTCCACTGGACTGCGCTCCCTGGGCGCCACGCTCAAGGTAGGCCGGGTTGGGGAAGGGTCAGGTTTACAGGTGAATTTGTAAACCTGCCATGTCCAGGCGCACCCTGAACCAAGATGCCATCCTTTGGGTCAGGCACAGGGCTAGACGCCAAGTGTATGGCTCAATCTAGTCTGACCTTCCTAATGATCCTGAAAGAAAGGGCTTACTGTTATCTTCATACCCGAGGAGAAAACCGAGGTATGTTTTTGCTTTTTACAGACTGGTCACTTTTGATATATCTGCTAAATATCAAATAAAACATAGCACAAAAATATGTAAAGCAGGATGCTTTCTGGGTTCTCGGTTAGAGCCTTTCTCCTGGCATTATCAGAAGGCACAGTCACAGGTCACCCTTAGTAGGAAAGTGTAGGAATAGCCCGGGAGCTAAAACAAGCACAGACTCGGCATTCAGTGCCAATTTCACACGCATTACTGGTTCAGTACTTAGTATGGCTTCCTCAGGAAGTTGCTGTCATTTAGTGTTATTTATTGTTTTTCTTAAATGAAGATGCAAGAATGAAGGGTGGTTTTTTAAAGCCTGGTTGCACTTTATTGAGCCCCGTCTTCATGCACTGGGGATGAAATTAGTCTTGCTGGGAGAGGGAGGCAATGTGAACAGCTTGCACAAGGCTTGGTGAGAGAACAGGGTGCATGCTGGGAGAGGGGACCCAGGGAACAGGGAGCCAAGAAATGAGGTTGATGAGGAAGCGGGTTTTGAAAAGCATGTCTCTTGGCCCACGATTTTCTACTTTATCTCCAAGGGAGCGTGTGAAGGGTTTAAGCAGGGGCAAGTGC